GCTCCCGGAGGCTGAAGGCTCAGTTCACATGCACCTGAGTGACCCAGGAGCTTGCACTGAACAGGCATCAGGCACTCTGACCGCGTGCTTGGTGCTGCACACACTTGCCATCCGTGCGCCTCTCCAGGCAGAGGGGTGGGAACGGTGCAAGGGCCCCTCTTAGTGATCCCCCCACCGGGGTTCTGGTGCCCCCTGCTCCTGAACTCCACTGAAGCCGGGGCCACTCAGCGGCCAGGTCTGTGAGGAGTCACCGGCGACTCCTCACAGCAACGGACGGCTGTTTGCATTACCCCAGCCGCCCGGAGCGCAGTCAGGAACCCCGGCCCCGTTGGCACAAGCCACCCCTGCCCCAGCAGCTCCCGTGGATCAGCGCTCGCCTCGGGGCTACCTCGATGATTTTCAGGGGCGCAGGGTAGAGTCCTTTGGTCTGCTTCTGCACCCTGTTCTCCACTGTTTTGTAGACCTGCTGCCTCACGAAGGGGACAGACAGGGCGTAGTCTGTCAGCTCTGCAAGAGGACACAGCAACACTTCAGTGATCTGTCCATGCCACAGGCTGAATGCCACAGCTGGACTCACGTGCCGTGGAAGGAGGGGAGACCCCGTTACATACGCCTAGCGCAGCCTGAGCAGAGGGCCAGCCATTCAGCCAGCTGAACTTCGCCGGCCACGCCAGCGTATAAAACCCACACGCAGCCGAAGGCGTGGAAGGCAAGGGCAGGAACTCCAACGGCCGTCAGCGGAGCAGGCCTGAGGGATTTCGTGGCTGCCCCAACTCCACTAAGGACAGGGAAGTCACTACCCTCGGCGGGCGGGGGGCGGCTCTGAGCACTCCTGCAGAAATTCCACCTGCGCCCCTGGGTCCTAACTCCCCTGTCCCCCGCTGCTGCCATGGGCCGTCCACGCAGCACTCTGCTCCCACGGGGCTCCCAGGGTTACCAGAGCACGGCTGCTGCTCGCCCGGGCTGGCCCGCTTCCTTCCAGGGGGTCTCCTGAGGATTTGGACCTCAGCCCAGAGGGAGGAGGGAATTAGCCCGCTCAGATGCCGGTCGCTGCCTGAACCCCAGGCACTTACTCTGGACCAGCCCCTTCTCCCTTTTGGGGGACACGGTCTTATTGGCTAGTCCTCTGGCAAAGCCAACCGCCACCTCCTCCAGGTACTCAATTGTGCGTTCTTCTTCCAGGGGGTCTCCTGAGGATTTGGACCTCAGCCCAGAGGGAGGAGGGAATTAGCCCGCTCAGATGCCGGTCGCTGCCTGAACCCCAGGCACTTACTCTGGACCAGCCCCTTCTCCCTTTTGGGGGACACGGTCTTATTGGCTAGTCCTCTGGCAAAGCCAACCGCCACCTCCTCCAGGTACTCAATTGTGCGTTCTTCCGGCGGCCCCCGCCCCAGGGCTGGGTGAAGCGCTGGGGAGATTCGCTGCTGCAGCTGGGCTGGCCCCAGGGTTCTGGAGGCGTACGGCGGGGCAGAGAGCCGACTTCATTGGACTCTCAAGCTCTCCCAGCCCCTCCCTCAGGCTGCGGAAGGGCACCGGAGTGTCAGTGAACCTCCCTGTCCACCAACACCCCGCAGGGACAGCACCACCCCCTGCCTCCAACAGCGGCCAGACCAGGGGCCACACCCCAGCAGGCTGGGCCCCCACGGAGCTAGCAGCCAACTCGTCAACCCCGTCCTCTGACCTAGTGGATCAACCAGCTGGTCAACCAGCCCCATCCTCTTCGCTCTGTCGGCACGGATGTTCCTCCCGGTCAGCATCATGTCCAAGGCGGCCGGGAGTCCCACCTGCAAGGCAGAGGGGAGTCAGGCCGGAGACGGCGATGCGGAGGGAGAGGGCCGCTCCTCCCCTGCACTTACCATCTTGGGCAGTCTCTGAGTGCCCCCTGCGCCCGGCAGCAGCCCCAGCAGCACCTCGGGCGTGCCCAGGACGGTCCTCCTGTCCTTGGTCGCTACCCGGTACTGACAGGAGATGGCGACCTGGGA